AGTTTTAGTGGCACTATTTTCAGATTCCCAGTGAGTATGGAAGCTTCTCTTCCATGTCTTATTTGCAGCCTACCCCTGGAATTATAACCTATACCAGGTTCTAGCAAAATTCTAGCCCACAAAACACATAGAATTAATCTACCAGTCATTCCAAAATAATTTAGCTAATTATAGCTTCATGATACAAAGAAATTCCTCAGATGTCCTGGTGAGTTCCATATTCACTGGGAGTCTGAAATCTATTTGAAAGCAGATTATAATGACTTTGCATAAAGAGCAATTAAACAGTTTCTGTCTCCCTGAGCTAAATGATTTTGATTTATGATTTGGGGTATGTAAATGGAAGTTGTTATAATATGCTTTAAACAGTGATACTAATAGGATGGACAAAAAGAGCCTCTGAAAGATTGCACCTGAGGAATATCTTAAAGAAAGGAACCTATGACTGATTATTTTTGTATATACCCATCTATTGACATATTATATTCAATATGGTTTCAATACTATATACCAGGGGTGAGAATCATGTGGAAGTTGTTGAACTGGATCTCTTAGAAGCCCTAATAGTACTATAGCCCATAGTGAGGAGTGCTGAGAAGTAGAGTCCAACAATATCTGAAAGGCCACATGGTTCCACCCCTACTATATACATTGACCAGAGAATAAGTCCTATAGTATACTGACTGACTTCTTGAGTAGACAGTTCTAGGATCACATTGTTAGATCCATTTTTTTCCTTTAAACTCTATTAACATCTACAAAAAATCTTATTGGATTTTCTTTTTTGCATCAATAGTTGTTACTATTTCAATATTTTCTTGGATTTTATGTTTCCCCAGATGATCTGTTGCTGGGGCATAGACATACCTAATATACTTAATACAATTGGGAAGGTGGGGTTTTGTTTTGTTTTGTTTTGTTGTTGTTTTGGCAGTACTCAAGTCACAAAGATTATTATCTACTTTGTGTAAATGGCCTCTTCTTTTCTGATCCCCAAGTACAAAGAAAAAACTACAGTGTGAAGCAAATGATTCTGCTGTTAAGGATCTGAAATTTCTAACTCCCGTGAGACGCTCTCGACGCATAAATGAGAAGAGGTCTAAGTTGCCAAAAGAATTGAAAGAGCACAACCTTTGTGTTTCTTCACTTGAAGAGCTCGGAGAATTGGGAGATGATGGTATTGGTTTCATCTACAGACAAAACAGTGCCCTGCAAAAAGTTTATCCACAAGAACTGCCCAAAGAGTGATAGTACAATTTTAAAAAAAGATTTTGTCTAGCTCCTGTAGCTCTGTATAAATAAATGCTTCTCTTTATTACCATGGTGTTAAAATATCAAATAAATAGGCCATGGGGATGACACACACCCAACTCATATGGTCTTGGCAATGGCATTCACC